TTTCCTTACTGTAGGGCTGAATTTGGGTGTTACTGACTGCAGTCCTTCACAAAGGGCCACCACGATGCAGGCAAAGTTCTCTAGCTTTCCTTATACTTGATTTTTTTTTCTTTTTAATTTCTGGCAGTTTTCAATAATTCAAGAAGTTCTTTTTAATTGATAGGGACTTAATAAGGGTCATGAACTCGTTTATAACTACTCTTGCATGTTGGAAAATGTTTCACTTGATACACTCACTGTATCTTCAGCATACCTAATATTCTCTTTTTGGTCATCATACATAAAAACAAAGGAGTAGGTTCTGCGGTTTAACCCAATAAAATCCTTTTTTTCACAATATACACATGACCCTCTAGCCCCTAGGGCAACAGATAAAATTCCCTTTTATCTTTCCTGTATCCACAATAACAGTTCTACATTTTGTTTTTAAGCATCTTGAAATTGAGAAAAATGAAGCTACACCACTGACTTCTAGTGACTATAAGAATTCTGCACATTAAACACAATGAAAACGCTTCCTCTACTATTTGGACTTGTTGGTGCAGATGGCTAGAGTGCGCTTAGTAATCCAGGTGATGGGTTTGAAGGTAATATTAGCTGGTTATCTTTACCCAGAGAATTTCTATTCCATAGACACAAATTTCATCCCAACCCTTGCCAACCACCTCAGAAATGCAGGCCTTTGGTCACCAGGAGGTTGGAGGACTAATACAGGTAGCTCAACATAAATCCCTCACCATGGCTAAAAATGTTGACATAAAAACAGATGCCCTATTAACTAGGTACTAGAGTCATAGTACCTTAGCATCTTTATGCAGGTGATAGAATATACAATAGTTATTAAGATCAAGTCTATATAATGGCAAAAAATATAAATAGTTTTGGCCTTAGACCAAATTGGTTCATACGAAAATCAGCAGGAGTGTCCAGTTGTTAGAATTCAGGTTTGTCTAACAAAACTTGTCATGAAATTTTTATTTGAAAGTCATTGTGTTTAGAAAGGGTCAATTTTCCAAATAAAATGTTTAATTAGTACCTAGTTTAGAGAGCCAAAATGGTTGCTCGTGGTCCCCGCCTAAGTGTAATATCTCAAATTTAGGGAAAAGTTGCCTCATTGGAAAATATTAATTATTAAAAAGTTATATAAATAATAAAGTGTTCTCCTTAATTTCTAAAAACCCTTTAAACCTCTTTAGTGGAAACCTTTCTCTCACCTAAAAGCCTTGAGAAAGAACATATCAGAAAATAAGCAGTTGAAATGGGAGATAAAGAGGCAAGGTTTTACATGGAAAATGACAATTTCAGGGAAAGAGAGAGAGGGCAGGTAAAGTGATTTCAGGCAGAAAAGCCTTTCAAAGCAGGTTTTTAAAAACCTCAGAAGAAACTAGTAAATGAGAATCAGTTAAGCATTAGTGAATTCTTTGGGCACCACAGTTACGATCATTTGTTCTGCTATTTTGTTGAGTGGTATGTAATGTAAAAATGACACTGGATGATAGATATATAGACTATCATACACTTTTAAGTTCTAAAGTACAACTTTTCACACATGTTTAATGTGATTTGTCAATTGACAAATACTTTTTAATTTTTTAAATTACAAATCAATACACATTCATTGTGGACAAATCAGAATGTAACATACACTGATCTAAGCAATGTTAACACCTTGATGGATATGACTTTTTTTTTCTCTGCCTATTTTGTAATGGAATCAAACACAGTATACTATGTTATAGAATATTCTTCCTACTTTGTTAGTGAACATCTTTCCATGACATAAAATAGATGTCTATGATATCCTTATTAATGCTTCATTGTACTCGCCTATGTAAGTCACTATCATCTAGGTTGTATCCATTTTTTACTTTTATAAACACCATGATAAGGAACATTCTCATACATAAATTTTTGTAGATATCCATGATTATTTCCTTAGGATGAATCTCTGGAAGTAAAATTTCCCAGTAGAAAGATCTATATCAAGTCTTTTGCCATCACAGTCAAATTGCCCTGCAAAAAGGATAATAGGTACACCAGCAATATATGAATATGCACATAGCTCAACATTCTAAAAACTCTTTGAAAAATTTTGGCAAGCCTGATACGGAGGAATGAGTACCACTGTAATATTTACTTGCATTTTTTTTGCAGTAGAACATGAAATGTATTTTAAACTTGCTCAAGAATGCTTTGGGTTTAAAAACGACAACAACAACCAAACTCGTTGCCGTCGAGTTGATTCCAACTCACAGTGACCATATAGGACAGAGAAGAGCTGCCCCATAGGGTTTCCAAGGAGCAGCTGGTGGATTTGAGCTGCTGACCTTTTGGTTATTAGCTGAGCTCTTAACCACTGTGCTACCAGGGCTCCCACTTTGGGTTACTGGACCAATAATTTATTGGAAGTAAGATAACACCTTGCTGTCTCTGCTAGCCCTTCAGTCCTAAAGTTCCACATATTGCCAAAAATTTAAAGTATTTAAAATTTCATGAATCAGCTATGAGCATTGCTTATGTACAGTTAAAATTCCTAAGTGTTTGATATTATTTGGATGAAATAATTAGATTGTGGAATGAGGTTTTCATTTTCCATGTAAGTGTTTTGATATGGTTTAGCTTTAGCCATAGATGCCTTTCCAAAATACGTAATCGGTGTACTGAAGTCATTATTTTCCCATCTCCAGAATTTCCATGCATTTTAGAGATTTATAGAGCTGTTAGAATCACATAACTCTATTGAGCGAAATCAGTCATATTTAAACAGTATTTTAAAACATATTGCTGTTTAGTGTTGTGTAGACTCTCCTTC